CCCGGCCCCGGGCGCGCTCCGTGTGCCCTTGGCTGAGATAGCACCGATCGCCAGAGCAATCAGAGCAATTAGGTTTTGAGCGGCTCTAAAGAGCCACTCGGGAGCCAGGAGTGCTCAGATACATCCCAATATTCCCTCAGACATCTGGACCGCTCGGCGGGATGAGTCACCCTCACCACCAGCAGGCTGCCAGGCTTTTTGCTGAGCCCGGTTTTTTTTTTTTTCCTCCTCTCCCTGGAAAAGCAACACTTCCCAATCACAGGATTGGTTGGGGTTTTTTTCCCCAACCAGCAATTCCTGGGAGCACCAGCCCGTGCTGTGGCGTGGCTCCAGGCACCACCAGCCTTCACATCCAACTCGGGAGGGGTTTGTGATGCCACCAAGGTAAGGACTGTCACAGTCAAGCCACCACCAGAAGAGTCATTCCTGAGGCAGACCCTGCGATCCTGCTGCTTCCCGAAGCCTCCTGCACATTCCCAGTCTCTCCACAGAACACAATGTCTCTCTGGGGAAGGGAAGGATAATTAACCATCACGGTAATGAACAACTGGGGGGGTTCAGACATGGCACGGGGGTCACAAAGGTTTGACCTCTTGGCTGGCCTCGCTTCCCAAATTTCCATCCCTGAGTGAAACCCAGGGGCTGATCCTGGGAAATCGTGGTCCTGGAACAGCTCAACCCTGCTGGGCGCTTCCTGGAGGTGCCATGTGGGTCCCCACACCCCCTCCATCCACACAGTCCCATCCCCTCTGCCCTCTCCTCCTCCCAGATCCCTCCAGGACAACTATTCCCTGCGGATAAATAACTCCATGGCCAATGGCTCACGTGTCATTGTTCCACTTCCATGCCCAGCACAATTTTCCCTCTTTATCCATCATTTACTTGTTCTGGCAGCTCTGGCAGCTCCTCAGCCCCTCAGGGCCTTTCCACCTGAAACCATCCACGTTTCTGCCCGTTTCCTCACACTGCTCCCACATCCCTCCTGTGTTTCCCACCCCAGGAGCTCCCTCCCGCCTCCTTTCACATTTGGAAGGCAGAGATCCACCCCAGTGCTGACATCCTTACCCCTGGCTCAGAGGATTTGAACCCAGACCCAGAATTTGGGGCTCTGCCAGGGGGGGAATTGCAGCTCCATCCCCAGCCGTGACTCAGCTCGAGCGCAGGGAATCCATCTGGGCTGGAGCAACGGATCCATCTGGGCCCTGGGGGAAGGGAGAAACCTCCCAGCAGCGCTCGGGAAGGCTGGTTTGGAGAGAGCTGAGGGAGAGGAGCTGGATGAGGAGGTGCAGAAATCCCCAAAGAAGGTCAAATCCCGCTGGGACGGCACCTGCGAGGCCGTGGCTGCCACAGCCTGTGTGGAAACAGTGAAATCCAAGGAAGTGCTTCTTCCAGGGGACTCTCTGGAAATAATGGAGCTTTCCTGGTTCAGGTCCCAGCCCTGGACACCCCAGGATGGCTCAGAGGTTGGGCAGAGCCCCGAAAACACAGCACCCAGCTGTGACCCCTCGTATCTGAGTGCGCAGCAATTCCAGGTCTGTGCCTGGAATCAGGGCTTCAGGAGCCTGTTCTGTTCCCAGGAGGGATCCCTGTGCCCTGGGAGGGGCATTCCCAGGGGAATTCCCCTCCTGTCACCTGCTGCTGGAGGTTCCACCTCACTTGGATCAGCCTCTTGTCGCCCAGCGTGGGGATCAGGGAACCCACAGGCTCCCCCTGCATCCCAGATCCAGCACCAACTCCACCACCACCAGGATTAAAAGCACGGATTAAAGCACAAATCCGGCCCCTCTCCATTTCCGGGGACTCACCTGCTTCAGTGCTGTCCTCAAATCGAGCAGGATTTGGAGGGAACGGAAGGAAAAGCTCCCCCTGGGAGGCACAACCCCCCTGCCCACCGCAGCACTCCATGGATCCTGCTGACACACGGGATTTCAAAGCCTCCAGGGAAGAAACCTGCTTCCCACACAGTGAGAGGGCAGGAGAGAACTCAGTTCCATCCCCTTCCACCCCAAATCCATGTGGAAAAGAGGT